ATGTTCAGTTCTGAGTGGGTGCTTTTTCAACTCTGATTCACCAAATTGCCAAACCCTGACTTGACTTTTATTTAGGGTGTATGGAAATTCCTTGTACGGAGGTTAAAATATGTGTGTGTGTGTGTGTGTGTATATACACACACAAGATCAAAGGTGAATAAATATTTGGCTATTCTTAATAACTTGAATATTACATTTGTGTTACATGGTTTATTGAAGCAGCAAATAGTATAATTAGTCTCATATCTAATTAAATATGAACATGTGTTTGAAGGTTATTCTATAATACATATTTTATATACATATATATCAGTTTATGGTACTTATCTCAGGAACTGTACATTTTATGGAGGGCCTGAGGAGGACAGAGGGGAGCAAACCATGCAGGCAGGTGAAGATGCTGTATGTTGTTCTGGAGAGGCTGATACTCCTCAACTGCTCCTGCCGTGGTCAGGGGACAGTGAGTGGCAAGCTTGGCAAGCCAGAGCAGCAACCTGGCCAAGAATGGGCTGCATCACCACAAGCAGTTGCATGCTCCTTACTGTCTGTTGACTCTGGAAGGATTTGGCCTGACTGCATGTCCTGAAGGTGTCTTTTGAGACAAGCCTGGTGTAAAAGGCGAGAGAAAAGACAGGCCCCTAAGCACTACAAATTATGCAATGCCAGGCTCCTGCAGCCAAACAAACTTGCAGGCATTTGCTGGGCTTTGCAAAATTTGCTGGGATGTGGTGACCATATCCAGCTGTGCTAGCCACGTCCAGCAAGCACTAGTCACAGCACTGGGGAGGAGGTTTCAAAGGTTTACATACACTGTACAGGCAATGTGTCCTCTCAAGACCTCATGGTGGAACTCAATGTATATTAGAACAAGCTGAAGCTAGGCAAGTGCTTCCTCAGCACTGCTGTTTCTCTAAGCAGCTAAGAATTGAGTTGGTGCATGGGGTAAATAATTTATTCCTTTACCTGTGGACATATGGTTCTCAAAGAAGATCATCTTTTGTGCTTCCAGAGCAGTTGCTCTTTATATTTCCAAAGGAGTTGATACTCCAGACTACTAAGTGGCTACTTCTCTTACCATCTTACTCCTCTCTTTGGACAGATCCTTCAGTTTTTGATTGTATCTTGTTTGGGAAGGAATAGAGCAAATTAGCCCACTTTTCACAAAAAAAATCATAAAATATTGCAGCCATCCTTCCTGTTGAGCATGAGGGCAAGCAGAGGTACTTTTTTTGTATAAGTATTAATTAACCTTCACAGCATCCAGTGATAAGTGCAAAGGTTGACAACTCGGAGAGGGAGAGATAAAGTGGTGATATTGCTTTCCAGCAGGCAGGGAGAGGGTAAGAATCAGTGTGGAAAGCATGCACTCACCACAGAGGGCCTTGCAACAAATAATTCTGTAGTAGCAAATCTTTGTTAGTTCATTTTCTGAATATAGGAACTCGCTGATCAAGATGTGACTATTTCTTGCCAAACCAGTTTGAAATATAATTACCCTATAATTTCATCTATGCAGAAAAGAGCTACAGCTTTAAAAAGTTGCTTCAAGGTTCCCACTAAGTATGATCCTAATTTCCATTCTCACACAGACCTCCTGACATTGAAATGCTTCTTGTTTCCACTAGAAAATAACCACATTTTCTGCTTCCATACTGACACTTTTTTTTTTTTTTTTTGTATGAAGGAACTGAAAATGAATAAATAAGTGGGATAATTCTCAGATATCATCTCTTTTTGTCTGAAAGCAACAGCATTTTCACCACGGAAGGAACAGAACAAGAATTTAAACAGTTTGGGAAGATATCAGGTTAGAAGGGGAAGCTGTCAAAGTTAATTAACTACAAATCAGTGTTTAAGAAATTCTTCCTCCCCTGTAACATCAAGAAGACAAGCTGAGGGCAGACCTAGTACCAGGCAATTTATAGGAATGCTTGAGTAGTGTGACCCTCACAATTTAAGCACTGAATTGTAAATTATGTATCCAACTACTTGAGTGAAACCCAGAATTTTGAACCTGTGAATAATCTTACTATAAAAATACCATTTGGAATAGTGCTCTTAAGGGAAATTAACAGAAGTGATGCAGCTAAGACAGCTGAGATAAATGCTTTGGAATATTTTCAGACTAGTTGTTATATGCATATTCCTGAACTGCGGAGGTTGTGTAACTTCCACTTAAGCTCCATGATTATGGGACAATCTGGGGACATTTTATATAGAATTTAAGATGAAGGTGAAGGATAGACTGTGCTCTCATACTTTCAGAACAGGCAGTCTGATTTGGTCACAATAAAATGCTCTGAGAATGGTCCACAAGGTGAGACAAACAACCAGAACTGGTTGCTACCACCCAGGAAACCTTCCAGACCAGAAAGTTTTATACGGGCTCTTCCCCTGAGCCAGAGGGAAAAGGCAAAAGCTGCTCGTGTAGCTCGGCCTTGTTCTCCCTGAGGGTCTGCATTATTCATTCAGCTGCTTGGCTATTTGTCTTCATGAAAAGGAAGACAAGAAACTCAGAATCATAGAATCCCAGGTTCGAAGGGACCTCAGGGATCATCTGGTCCAACCTTTCTTGGCAAAACGTAGTCTAGACAAGATGGCCCCAGCACCCTGTCCAGCTGAATCTTAAAAGTGGCCAATGCTGGGGTATCTGGGCCATGGCCATCAGCTGCTACTGTTCTGTTTTGGGTTTTTTTTAACATTGCAAATGACCTAAATATAGGAGGGAGTGTTCCTGCCGAAAAAAGTCCTCACTGCTGATAACTGAGAATTAGCACATAACATATTTCTTCTGTATATACATAAAGCTATAGGAAATGAGAGGCAATTTCTGAACCATGATCTCATTCTCAGCCTGGGAAACCAAGTCAGGAGCAATATATTGAAGGAATTTGAAGAACCTGTTCTTTAGGAGAAAGGTGACCAGGGGCCGTTTTTGCCCTGTCTTTCTAATAGTGTTATGACAAAAGCCAGCAATTTCCTTTTTTTTTTTTTTTTTCCTTAAAATTATAAAGTAAGCAGGATAGAATGTGATCATAAGTAGCTATTAGCTTTTGGTAAAGATAGTTTCCTGCCGTGCTTGCTTGGGAGCAAAAATGCTATCCCAGTGAAGGTCAGCTAGACAATTTCTGAGGGTGAGAGGCTGATTCAAACAGGGCACCTAGTGTAGGGCTGTGGAGCCTATTACAAGCCATAGTAGTGAAGAAATTTCCAACAGACTAACTGGTTAGTCACCCATCACTCCTGGAGGATTTCATTGCAACCAAGTTACAATTCACAAAACAAGTGAAAATAAGGCCTTAACCTTTAATTAATATCTTGCACTTTTGTTCTATGAGGAAAATAGTGTGAAATATCAACTACGCTCAGTGCCAGCCCTGAACTGAATCAAAGAAAAAAAAAATTACAGTTTCAGACTTGTATAACTGTCATTGAAATTAGATAATGTTGGGCTCTGAGAAGGAAACCATTGATTTTTAGCAAGTGCTAAATGCTCCATAGAGAATAGTCAGTTTGGGGAAGAATGACTGCAGCAAAAGCTTACAGATTTAGCTCAGAAATTTCTAAGAGTTCAATATTTGCTTGCAGAAATCTAGCTTGGGAAGCAGCAAAGAGTTAATTCATATTTCAGTATAAAGCCTGCAGTTTTCAAATGCAAAATATTTACTACAAGCATTGCAGAGATGAAAAGAGAGAAGCTTCTCTGTGAAGGCCTCTGTAAGCTCTAATGCAGTTTAGAAAAAGATTACAGTATTTTGATCATAAAATTGACAGTCTGGAAAACAGATTAAGACATCCAAACTACACACTAAACAAAGACCACCACAGAAGTTCAAAGGCAAAAACATTGTTGGATTTATAACCAACTGATTATTTAAAAGCTGGGAAGAAAATGGCTTTATTTTTCAGTGAACTCAGATCATCTCAGCCAAACCCATGAAAAATGCTCAGTAAAGGAAGTACCATTCCATCTGCTGGGAATCCTGGCAAATTATCCTGGCAACAGGATTCATTCATTCATTTACTTCCCAGAAATCAGCTTTGGAGAGATTAAATAAACATCCTATTACAAAACCCACTGAAGTTTTTCACACTGATGTTTCTGAGCTTCAAATTGATTGAGAGAATAAATATCTTGGGAGGGGAAAAGGTGAAGAATGCTTTCATACATCTAACTGTGCTCAGAATTTACCATTACCTCAAAACTGCTCTTTTCAGTGCTGCAAGGCACTGAATACACCTAACTTAATTTAAGAGACACTAAACTCCCAGATCTAGCAAGACAGAGATTTTTCCACTATGGAGGAAGACGAAAAATGGCAAAAGGCAGTATAGTCAGGTCTGTGATGTTGTGTTGCTTGTGTGGGCGTGCCTGGAGGATGGCTTCATGGCTCCTGTGAACCTGTATCCCTTTTGACCCCAAGCAGGTAGCCCAGGTTAAACCCCTGAGTACTTTTGATGAACAGTGTCAGATTTGATTCTAGTTTTTGTTGAAGCTGAATTTGCAGTATTTGAACCTAATTTATGAAATATAATACTACTGAGTATGAGAAGGCCACAAACTGACCACTCTGCTTCTACCTGTGAGAGCTCCTAAGCACTGTCACCTTCATACCTACTTTCCAGCAGGAGACTTGGTGGTAGTCATCACTCTGAAATGTTAATTTCTGCACAACTGGCCACACCTGGAGTGTTATGAATTTCGTTCCCTTTCTGGTACATGACTTTCTGAATGCTGACACTGATTTTCAGATAATGTGTTTATTTGGGCCATCTCCTCACTTGATCTCAGTCAACAGAACTCCTTGAAGCTGATGATGCTAAGTTCATATATATATCAGTGGAGGATCCTGGTTTAGGATTTTTTTAGATGTTACATAATAATACTTTTAACTCATTTTTTTATTTGGGACCACAAAGGGTCAGTCTCTTTCGAAGAGATGTTTCTGGACTGTGTTCTACTATTTTTTATATCCCTCTGTTTTGTTTTTTTTTTCTAGGCTTTTGAAAAAGGAAGAAAATTTTATTTTTATTCCTCGTTCCCGTGAAGAGCTTCCAGAAAACTTTCCAAAGGAAATTCCTGGGATCTGTTACTTCCTCGAGGTCAGAAGTGGTCAGAAGCCGCCAAAAACGTCCATCACGTCTGCCAGAATGAGAAAGGTTTCTTACAACATTGGCACCATGTTCCTCCGGGAAACTAGCCTATGAGGCCTGCTGCAGATCAAAGACTCATCAAAAAAGCACAAGCCCAGAACTGGGTCATGACAGGGGAATTGGAGGTTCTTTCTATTTCACTGCCTTGTTCTGAACAAGCAGTAAAAGCTCCATGTAATGTCAGGCAATAATAATTTTAAAAGGTGGGTGACTGCTGTCAGTAAGCAAAGTGGAGATAGGGAAAAAAAATTAAACAACGTACTTCCACTTCCAGAGGAATTTGTTTCATAAACTTCAGTCTGGCCCCTCTATGACAAACAAAACCAAACCAAACAAAATAAAACCCCAGCTCTCAAATTAGAGGTTGGTTTTGTTTTGTGCAGAAAGGATCATGGTTCTCAGTAGATTTGCACCAGCTAAGCAGAATTGAGAGTCAGTTCTGATTATGCATTCCTACATTTAATGTGTTCTTCAGTAAGGTAATGATGTTTTTTAACTTTATGAACAAACATTTCATACATATACTGTACACCCGTTGTAACCTTCCTGGCAGGAGGAATTATAACTCAATACAAATATTGTAGGAATTTTACCTATTTTTATACATATTTCACTTTCTGGACAGTTACATTCCACATACTGTAAGCTGAGTGGGCTTAGATAGCTTTTCAGAAGAAGCTACTGTATATTTCATACATTCTACCTGTCAAACCTTATTGTTATACAAGTGGGAAGAAATAATTTTTTGACCTTTTTTGGCAACAAAAATACTGATATTTTACAGAAAAAAACCTTTGGTAAATCTCTTTACCTGATGTTTATGCTAAAGCTTTAGATGAGCATTGTCTTCTTATATAAAATAATGTTCAGTATTTGTCCTACAGTGCTATATGTCCAGTCCTTCCAGGACAATGCAAAGTGTAGAAGATCAATGTGTTGACAAACAGAAAAGTTCTGTTTAGCGGGGCTTGTTTGCCACTAAATTGTCGGCCAAACTGATTTTTGGTAGTACTCCTGGACTTAGAAAAAAACGATCTTGTGAAAACTTATTCTGAGGAATTCCAGCAGATGCTGGAAGCTCTCTGGAAACTGGTTTTCCACATTTTTTTAATAGGACTTGTGCTCCTACTCCAGTTTGATTATTGAAAATCCTGTTATTAATGATGCTCATCTGGAAATTTCCTCTGTTGCTGGATTGGTTCCCTGCTTTATCTAATGTAGACCAAAAAAAACACTGAAAAGGGGAGGGCAATACTTTCCCAGGTTTAATGCAAATGGCAGTTAAAGATTTAGATGAATCTATGTCAATTGAGAAAAAAAAAAAAAAGCCAATTCTTTGCTGTTAAAAATGAATATAGCTTTATTGTCTTCAATGAATCCAACTGAAACAAGATGTGGATCTGTCCCCACCTAGGAACGTTTTCAGGCATTGTTTATTTCTCAGGTTTTCCTTTTCAGTTTTCCTCTGCAGGTGTACTTCCTTTAGGGTCATACTGAAGTGGGACAATGTTCTTCTCTTGCAGATTGTTAGCTAACACTGGTGCAGTGATTTTGAAGTGGCTTAGCTTTACGTGGTCCTGATGAAAGATCACTGAAATCAAAGATAAGAATCTCAGCAGCACTAGGAGGCATGAGAAGCTCTTTATTTCTATAATCCAGACCAGAAATTAGAGTTCACTTACAGATTTAGTAGTAATAACTTGAGGCACATTTTGAAAATAAGTAAATAACTTTCACCACATGTCCAGGTTATCTGGTTAGATCTTTCTGTGGAGTGAATGACAGTGCTGCATTTCTCCCCTTTGACCGGTAGCCCATATTAGAGTGCAAACAAGTCTATGTGGCACCATTAGCCTGTGATAATGTGTTTCAGGCTTCCTTTCCATGAAGCCTTTCCAGATGAGAAAGGACTACCTTGAACCTGTACAGACTTCAGCATGTAGAGAACATCTGACCTTATTATGCAAGGGTGGTTTTTCTGCTTGGAGGGCAGATGCATGGGAATTAGCCCAGAAACTTACTTAAATGGAAGTTCTCTTGATTTCTAGAGGAATACTGATGTTAAAGATTTCTTCCATTGTTTATTAGAACATCCTTGGCATTGGAGGAGTTAATCTTTTATCTACCTTGATAAACAGCATCTGCAGCTCTACAGACTATCTGAAAAAAACCCTGTTTGAGCTCAAGGTTGCAGAATTTCCATCCAAACTACAGATCTGAGAATCTTCTGCATAGAATGACAAGTTTTAGCCTGTAGCCATTAGTTTGCACATACACAGGATGTAGCGTGCATTTTTTCTCCTGAGAACATCAGTGAGACATGCAAAAATTATAAATGGAGCAAAGTTCGTGTTTCACCACTGGAAGAGGAACATCACTTCCTAGCTAATAAAGCTGTGGTTTTGATGTCATTACTTAGTTCCCTAGAGTGAAAATTTTCCAAATAGCTATCGATAGACTGATATTTCATTCTGACTTCTCTGGCACATCCTCACTGCTCAGTAGGTTCTGATGTTAGAGTATCAATCTCTCTGGCCAAACTCTTTTTCTTTTCTCACCACCCACAGTCCTGTATGAAGAGAACAAACATAGAGGTTCAGACCAAAAGCTTGTGGCTTAATAACTTGTCTCGCACAGTTGCCAATAGGAAATGTTTAGGTTAATTCTGTGGCTGATCTTGGTAGATCTATGGAAATGTTTTCATGAGAAATGAAATGCTATTTCTACTAGCAAATTGCAGAAGCAATCTAAAAAAAGTTGAATCACCATCCTCATCCTCTCAGAGACTGTTTATTCTATAAGGAAATTTATAATCAGAGAGATCAGTGCAAAACCTGAAAATTGGTGTTGGCATCACCATGGAGACAATGACAGTGTTTGCAAATAAATCATCTAGCTCCCCAAATTAGAGTAGATTTACTGTATAAGAATATTCAGTCTCTGCTTTTTATAAGCTTGTGTAAAGGTAACATGTCCAGAACTTCAGCACTGATGGTAAGTTTTGTGTTACTTGTTTCTGTGTTATGACAAGGGAAGTTAATAAAAAAGTGTGGGTTCACTAGGGACATTTTTCCATCACAGTGTGAGAAGAATGTAAAACAGATTCTCAGCACTCTTGAACTTAGTAGTTGCATCTGCTGCCTTTAATATTAGGTTGCAAGTTTATTTTGTTGGACACCTTTATGAAGTGAAATGAAATTTATTTTCAAGGGTGATGCTGTGAAGTCAATTAGATGGTAGTCAGACTCAACATTTCTTCAACAACACTTTCCGTGATAAGGAAAACTTTCTCATTTGCCTGTCATTGTCTTAATAAATAAAAAGGTTCTCAGAATTTTTAAACCTTGGGATGATGAGGTTAGAGGTGCTGAAATGGATGCAGAAATCACATACTATGGTTGGAATTTTCTTCTAGTATTTTCCTTTCTATAAACCAGATGCTTTTGTTCTTCTGATTACGAATTTACATATCTGTGTTTCTTCACATAGCTGCAGGTAGCAACATCTGCTTTCTTGAGTTTGAAACAAAAGCACCCCCTCTGAAGATAGAGGAGATCTACCACATATTGCCTATACAAGGCAAAGAAAGGATGACGTGAAGACCCTAGCTGGGGTCATTGGTCTTTTTGCCACAAACTTGATCTGTGCAGCTTCTCTCTGCTCCAGGCTCAGAGGGACTAGAGACCATGGACTGACCACAGAGGCAGATCTAGTGGCCAACTTCTTGTACAAAAGTCATGTGGCCTAAGTAAACAGAGGCAACAGTCATTCCCCTAGAGCACTTTTTACAGATCTTGTGTCAGATTTTTCCATCTGCTTGAAGATCCCCATCACACAGGCTCTTTTGTGATTCATAGAGATCAGGAACTCAGAGCAAGAAGGAAATAGTGATGGAAATGGTAGAGTGGTGCATAACTTTTCTTCTACATCACTGGTAATATGTCATTCAAAGACAAAAGCCTCTGCATGGGAGAACTGCTGCTAAACCAGGACTCTCAAAGTGTGGTTTTCTTACAGGATCCCACAGGCTATTTCTTTTTTAATTCCAGAGAACCAATAGTCATTAACTGTGGTTGTGGTTTTGGCCTCACTGTTCGTTCCCACATCCAGTTTCATATCTGAGTCTGTTTGGAAAAGGCATTTTGGAGTCTGGAAGCATGCCTCTGCAAACAGAAAACCAAAGCTTTTAAAACCTTGGAAATCTTGTATGGGAATTGCCTGCTACAAGCTAAAAAATCCCTGTAGTTGAGTCATTAGCAGGTCCTGCTGCAGTTCACGTGTGGGCATATGCCATTTCACAGTGCTGTCTCCACGTGTGATTATGGTGTTCCCTACCAAGCCAACAGCAGTATCAGGTGCATAACTACCTTTTCTAGGTTTTGATTAACATCTTTAGTTTTTTTCTGTATAAAGCAAGCAGTGCAGAACCATGACATGCTGCATGCATTTAAAAGTATCATAGCGCTGCACTGAGGCTTAAACTCTGCTAACCAATTTCACATTGTGTATTTCTTCCTCTGAATAGATCCTTCTCCCAGATGATTTAAAAAGGAAGGAAAAAAAAAATACCACCCAAAACTGCAGTGTTGAATTGCAAATGAGTATGAAACCTGCATCAGTTGGTGGGGCAAGTTTAACTACTGGGCAGCTTTCAGATTCTTCAGCTGCCACAAGCTGTCACACTTGCATGCTTCATGCAAACTGTCCTGGCAGTCTGTAATCCAACAGCAGCATCACAAATTTACAGCATTTAGTGGGTTTTCCTCTTCCAGTCTCAGGCCACGACATCACCTCTGCTGAATACTCTGAGCTCACTGAGGACAGCATATTCCATGTCCTAATGCAGTCCCAGAGCTTCTGGCTTCATTTTTGGGTTCCAGTGATCTTTTTCAAAATTACACATGTGTAATATTTGAAATAGCAATATGCTTAAATTAGTAACAAAACAAGAAGCATAAAAAGCTTGTCAAACTCAGAAACAGTTGGTTCCCTTCCTTCAAGGTAATACATTATTCATAGCCCTTTACTAGGATTGAGGGTGCCAGTGACAGTAGAGGCTGTGGATGAATTGAAGATGCTGAGTGTGCAGGAGACTCAACAGGCAGAACTTGATCGGCTCCTGCTACTGTTCATCATTCCATCACCTTGCACACTATTTCCTGCTCTTAGTCAGACTTCTGCTCTTCAAAAGACCTCCACTTTCTTTCCTTTAGCGCTCTATGTGTGACATAAACAGTGAGTAATTCTTATTGTTCCTATTAATATATGTTGTTGACATGACTGCTTATATCTAAAGAATAACTGGCATTAAAGGGCTGATCTTACTCTGCAGCAAAGACAAAACTGCAACAGTGACATGGCAGGCACTCACATCCTTAGAGAGGGAAAAGACCACAGTGCAAGTTGTCACTGGTGGATTTGTGTGGAAAAGTCAGTACACTAACAGTCCATGGTATGTTTTTAACTTTCCCAAGTATTAAATTTATCCATACAGCTAGGAGTTAGTCCTTAATAATGTTATTAATTTACAATGCATGAGCAGCCTCACAACAAAAATCTGTAAACTGTTTAACTTCATCAGCTTGATCTTTTGTAGCTTGGCTATTAATCATGCATGAATGCAAGCAAAACAGTACAACTGGGGAATTTAACAATTCAGTCATAGGTGACAGACAGATCATTCACCTCTGCAGATGCTTACTTGTTCCTGTGGTTTAGAAAGGTTGACCCCCGGTTACCTGTGGTTCAGGTTAGTAACACTGTGTCACTATAGCAACAAAATGGTCTCCGAAAAACAGCATGAGGCATCTCAGTCTGCTTCCCTGTGGACTGTGGTTCATGTTGGAGAGGACAATACAGTAAGTGATGCAAAGGAGTAACTTTGCTGGCAGGTTTAACAAAAGAATCAGTGGAGGCAGATGTTAAACTCGCTGTTTGCTTCTGAGTTTTAGTTTCCAAAGGCAGAGTGAGGCTGAACATGTTTTATTTTGGACAAAAAAAGAAGACGCAGGTTTTCAGAGAAACAAGTCTCTTTCCTGCTTTATGGCTAACAGGGAGGCAGCAGAGTAAAAGTGCTTGCTTCTGCCTTCAGCTTTCTGGCCCGCTTTGGCTTTAGCATTCCAAGAATCATGCTTCTGCTGAAGACTGGGGGACAGGTAAGTGTTTCAGTCACTGCTCTAGACACAGCATGAGGCTGCCTAAATCCCTGAGTGTGCTTAACTTTCTCAGTGACCACAGATGGCAAACTTTGCCTAGACATCTATTTTTTAAGATAGCCAAAATAAGTGAGATTGATCCCACTGAATTAAGCTTTTTCCAGCCCAAGTGCTGTGTCTCAGATATTTTAGTCTTGCTGTTTTTCACAGTTTTGCATTGGCCAAAATAAATTTAATCAAACTAAATTGCAGAGGGATAGATAATCATAATCTGGTATAAATAAAGGTTTGTTACGGTAGCCGTGGTGACTGTCAAGAACAGGGGCTGCTACAGTTTTGGAAAGCTCTTCCTTCTGATGTCTGAACCCTAAAGTCAGCACTGCCAGTCACAACTCCTCAATACCATTAGGACTCTGATCTAGAAAAGTTTTGAGCTTTGAGCTCCTAGTCCACTTATTCAAACCCTCTGTGCCACCTTCACCTGAACTCTATGTCAGAATGCCTACTTAAACCTTGTTAGTTATGCTGTAGTAAAAGATGATAATAAAATATATAAAGAGCAGAGAGATAGTTACTAGGGTATTATTAATATACATTTTTTGTTCTTCTGTGAGTTTGTGGGCCTAAAATTAACTTTCCATTAGCAGAAGGTCTCACATTGAGCTACTTGTTATCTAGATAATTATTCCCTAGCAATATTCTCTAAGGACTACTCTTGAAGCAATAAGTAAAGCCATGCTAATCTGTTCTGTGTAGATTCTTGTACAACACCCATCACCTTAACAAACCACCTTTTAACAGAACATTAAATAGCAGAATAACACCCTGTATTGTTTATTTTTCCATCATCTTCCCCTGGGGAGAAGATTATGTAGTGGAATCATTTGATTTTGTGAGGTGGTGTCTTTTTGTTAGTTTTCTAAAAATACATGTTGCTACTTGCTTAAATAAGGAAGAGCAAAGTCAGAGCTATAGACCAGGATTAGAAAAGAGTTTTAGTTGTAAACAAAGTATTTTAAAGAATGCTCACAGAGTAAGACTTGTTTCCCATCCTAGAAACAACAGAAGGGGTAATATGTCTAAGATATACCCAGGAATTATAAATATGAGCAATAAACCGAGCAGGTATATATAATGGATATCTTCTGCTTTATACACAACAGTAGATAGATGCTAAAGCTGATTAGTACCCAGAGAGGAGGAATACTGTTCAATCTGTTTTGGCATTTGTTTATTACCAGTATACCTCTAAGGTATTATTTTTTTCCTTCCCTAATGAGACTGGAACATACTGTTAAATCATTATCAGAGTTTCTGAACTTACTGCAGAGGAACATGGTTAGGAATGCATAACTATCAAGGGGAGTTTTTTAAAAGTGAGCTGTTGCTCAAGAGAACAAATAACGTGGTAAAGTTAAAAGAGGTATGGACAGGTGTATTTATTTTAAAAGTTCAAATGGCATTTCTGGTTGGTTGAAATCATTCCAAAACTGTACACTTAAAGCACAGCTGCCTGGTTCAGGGTATTTGAATTTGCAAAGAAGGAGGAGGTAAAATTTTCAAAATCATGTAAGGGACATACTTCTAAATCCCATTTTTTCTGCTTAAACACGACTTCTTTCTGAAGATTGAACCGGACTTTGAGGTTCAATCCTGAGGTTCTGAATGACTAATTAAATTTTGAATATGTGAGCTATAAATTCATATAACTTATGTTCCTTTGAAATGTTGTTCATAATGGTATGTGAAAGGAAATTCTGAATGTCCAACCAGCAGCAAAGGTGCATTTTTCTCATGATAACTTGTACTGGATGATGAAATGTGGCATTGTTTCTAATCTATGCAGGTTTTTACACCATTTTTCAAGGTGATGCTCCCAGATGTGTGGCTGTGAGCATATGAATGTTCTGCTCTTCAGTGGGGATGAGGCTCGTTAACAACCTTTGTAATGTTCTGAGGGATCCTAAGGGAGAAAGCACTGCCCAGCCAACTCCTCCATCCATTTAGCTCCGTCTACTGAGGGACTGTGAAGCTGAGTCCAAGATCTACTTTCTCATTACATCTCTAAATCAAGTCCCACATGCTTGCCAGTGTTTAGGTGTGTAAGCATTCATCTCTGGAAACTTCCCACAGGTCCTGTAAGTGTATAGGTAAGAGGTTGACAGAGGGGAAGCATCTGAAGAGGGTGAAGTATGTGTGTAGGAGAGAGCTGCTGTGTATAGATGTGCTTTCATGTATTTGGAAGTTGGATGACCCACAGAGTATTCTGGGTATGATAAAAAATGCAAGTGTTGTATATAATGTCATGAACTCTCAAGGTGTTAGGATGAGTTTTAGAGTCCATAATCCTTAGAGTTTTAGTGGAATTGCATGAGAAAAGCACTATTTTTGGAAGAGGGAAAGATGCTTTGTATTTTAAATAAGAGTTGAATCTCTAGTTGCACAGAAAAAGTATGGGGGGAAAAGAAAGTCTCGAGAAATTCTGAATGCCAAATGCAAACAAGAATGTCCCACTTTTTTGTATCATTTGACTTTTCTGGAGGTAGGACTCAGAATTCATCTATGAGTTTTGTTACTGAATGCAAAAACTAGATGTGAAACAGTACAAGTGAGGTACTTTGCCAACTGGTAGAAATCTGGAGATGACAGTAAGAATGCCTTTTTTAAAGTATGTAGGGGTACGGTACTTAAATGTTTGCACTTTAAAAAATGGAAGCTGTTCTGCTTTATAAGTAAATACTGTTTAGAAATGTCTAGACTGAAAGAAAGCTCGCAAGACTTGTATCATAACAAAAAGATACAAAGTCTATGACATAACCTAGGGTTCACACCATTCCTTAGGAACAGTGCTATATATGGAGTTTTCAAAAGCACATTGAACCTACAGTTGTTTATAGTTAATTTCAAAGAGAACAGTATTTCATCAAGCACCTTCTGCAAAATGCCAAGCAGATCATGTTAGGTGAAGCCTAGATTTAACTCATTTGCTTTAGAGTGTATCAAGGGATACACGGCATCCCAAGCAAGGCTTTAAATGCACTTCCTAACATGTGTCAACATTGTGCCTTTTACTGAAGTCTAAACAAAGCCCAGCCTAGACAAAATTCCCATCCCAATTTATATTTCCTCACTAGAAAATTAGCACTTCACTAAGTTGCAGCCATTAATGTCTTTGATGCTGGAATATTGCTTATTATTCTTATGTCTCACACTGCCAAGTTGCATTGGGGCCCATTACACTCTAGAGCACCAAGGGTTTGGGGAACTGCTTTAAGATTAAGTGAAATTCAGCTAGCATAGATTTAGGTATTTAAAAATTATGTCTGACCTGAGCTAGTCAGGTCAGCTCCCTCTACAGTCGGTGCAGACATCCTGGCATCTCAAAGAATGGTTGTTCCTGGAGAAAGTGTTAAGGAGGAGATAAACCAATGCCTTAGATGTGCTTTTCTCTTTCTCCCCAGTGACTGCAGTGTTGAGGTGGAGGACTAGGTCAGATTAGCTGCCATATTGTAGGTGAGATGAATTCCAGTGTTGATAAGAATGAGAGGATCTAATAAGATAGAACAGCAAATGTACATGGAGAGAAACACATAATTGGCAAGGGCCAGGCTCCAAACAGGGATACAAAGGGTTGTAGTGGTAAAATTATTAATATTTAAGATTTGAGAGTTTGGGCTAGAAAGCTTCTCATAATTAAAAAAACATTCCTTTCAACTACAAGGTAGCAATCTCTGATTGTTTCCAACTCCCTACTTCTGATCCAAGATAGTGCTGGTGTGCCACTCCTGTAGGCTCTACCAAGAGCCATCTCTCCATATGTCATGTTATCTACTGTTTGATTCCTTCTTAGAATAGTGGCAGTTAGCAAGCTACTTAAGGAGTCCATCCCTCTGAGGAATGGATATGTGATTTTCCTAACATTGAAATTATCATTCTTCTTCTCCTATTTCTTTTTTTCTGAAGCAGTATATAGGTTGGTCTCTGTAATCACTTGGGAAAGAACAGGGGAACAGAGAGTGAGATGCTGGCCGAATGTTCTCTCTCTACAACCATAGTTGCTACATCTTCTGTCTGACCTGTCCTAAATTGTGTTGTTACATACTTGGAGTACCCAGATTCTCTGACAGGATCTTGGGTTGGGCTCTGAACCAGAGGCAAGTGGGAAGGACAAGGGCTGCCACTCTGGTATACTGCTCCTGTACTTCTCTCTTCTGTTTGCAGTTGCTCTTCTGATCCTTTGACAGCATCTGTGGCAATTTTCACCGCAGTCATGGTTAGGGAGGCCGTGGGAAAGTTCTTGGGAAGAAGCAATAGTATGCAGTCCTCCACACTGTGAGCTGTCACTCTCTCCAGAGAAAAGGAATTAGAAATAGTATTGGCCTCAAGAGCTGAGAAGACTTACAGATTTTCCATGTACAGTAAACAGTTTCTATAATTACCAGACAAACAAAACAGTGAGGCAAAGTTGTGCAGCAGGGGCATCCCGTCTCATACACACTGCTGTGATAATGAAATCCAAACCCTGTGGAATTTTAGGCACATTATTCTCACTTGCTTTAAAGGTCAGCGAAGAAGCTAATTTCTCAGATGGGCTCATAGCTCTGACACAATGGAACACTAGACATTTCTTCCAACAAATTGCAGTTGTCAGAGAAACTGGATTAGTAGCTCATGGAGCTAAAAAGACATTATGCGCTTGGCAGAGAAGGATGAATACAGTAACAGAGGTGAAGGTATATCAAAATACTATAACATCTGGAGAAAAAAGTAACAAAAAAGTACTCAAAGCAAGTTACCCATAAAATTACAATAAAAAATAATCTGAATTACCAACTGGAAGAATGAGAGGGTTTAGTCTTGATTCTGTTTTATTCATCTTCCAAATCAGCCTTACAGTTGCTGGTGTATCAGCTGAATCAGTTTGGCCACAGTCTTTTCAAAGTCATGTACCTCACGTTAGGCAATGTAAGTCATGATGTTAAAGACATTATTTGAATACTGAAAAAAGAACAGTCTTTGGCCTAACGTTTTTATCTTCTTTGCATTGGAGAGACTTACTGAACTGAAAAATAAAAACTAAACTCCCAAAGCCCAATAAGAGATCTACAGTCAAGGCAACATTCCAAACCTCAGCACATCTTTACTAAAAAGTGGATAATTATTTTTCATTATATCAAACATTTGCATTTTAAAGAATTCTCTTTTAAGGCATGATTTTTCAAATTTGTATTACTCCTTTCTTGGACTGAAACAAAAACCCCAGAACACTTACTCATTCTTGTTCACTTATTTATTTTCTGTAGCAGAGCAATTTCACCATACTGTGTATGACCCTGCAGGAGCAACAGTCCACTTCAGATATGGAGCCTCAGCCTGTCTGGTCAAGGTGAAAAGTTCTGCAAGATGCAGGTTGGGTCTCAGCTGAACACAGGGCTGGCAGTAGTCGCATGAAGTTTGTACTGTGACTTAAGTAATTCTTTTTACTTTTATATTCAGAAGCAGACCTATGTATAGCTCAGCAATAATCTTCACTACTTTATTTAGAAATTCTTTCTGTAGTATGTGTCTTTTCTGCACATCTTCTATAAAATCTCTGCATTTCAGATCTGAGGCATTGACAAGTATAGGGTATAAATAATAACATGTCAGCAAATCAAATCACTGTGAACAGTATTTGCAAAGTATTTATGCACTTTGTCTTTTAGATGTCTTACAAGCTAGAGTCCTTTTTGCAAATTCTAAGAGAGGTCAAGAGTAATCTTGATTTTGGGATTTAATTAGCATCAGTACAGTTTTCTGGCATTCACTGGATACCATTATTACTGCAGTGTTAAGGTTCAGCTGTGAAATAGAAATGTCAGGATAAATAGCACCAGCAGTTATCTGCATTGCACATCCTACACATGAGGTACTCATTTCATGGCATACTTTGTATTCTATAGAACATAATATAACTGGTTAAATATGTAGAAAAAATAGTTAGCAGTAAAAAAATACAAAATATGTGGACACTGCTGTGTCTGATAAAGTCTTGAGGTATTATGGATGTATTATCACCTACTCTTGCAATTGCTCTGAACCAAACCATGCATCTTTGGCATCCAACCTTACTTTGGTGAGAGGCATAGTCATCATCATCCCTTTATTTATTAAAACTCAGTTACATTAGAGCCCAGAGATTACTAACACAGAAATTTTTCAGCCAAGTACTCTAAGAGGACTATTTTTTCTGAATATGGTGGGCTCCACTGCTATGACTGACTTTATATCCCTTCTTGATTTGACTTTAACCTTTCCCAGTTTACTGGAATTCTACAGTTCCATTTTCCAGGGTTCCACAGTGTTTTGAAGAGACTGTATATAGTCTGGTTTTGCAACCCACTGGTGCAACACACGAATGTTAAACTGTTTCAGATCACCATTCTGGAGAGACCGACCAGTGTTTCACAGCCGCAGATAATCTCTTTATGCCACTTCGCTCTGCCCCTATGGCTGACTTCAGAGAAGGAACTGAATGCTACTAAAAATCTTCTGGTGGTTTATATTTGTTTTAGTGGGATAAATTCAGGGTTAGGAGAAACTTGCAAAACAAGCTAGTAGTATTGGCATGAACTTCACAGCCTGAGCCCATCAAGTCATAGTTCAGTCTCTTCCAAAAGCCTTTGAGAACAAATTGAACTTTGCATGGAATATCTCGTCTAGAAGAACTGATAACAATTTTCCGGTTGTCTGTCACTGTGATCTCAACTCTCTCGTTTGATGAAAAACCCATGAAATTTGGGAAACAATGAATGGAAAATCTCATACTTACGATACTTGTTTAAACTTTTCTTCAAGGAGCCTGATGCAATTCTGAAATCAGTGATTTAACTGGTAATTCATTCAGACTCATCTTCATTTCCTCTGCAGGTAACTCTAGAGGATGATTAATCTTTGATGCCTTAGAGTTTTATCTTTCGACTTTTCCCTTTCATTTTGGTGTTGCCAAAATAAAATCTGAGGGCTAATTCCTATCTAAAATGGTCACAAACAGCTCCAATAACAGGGCCAGATGTATGTGAAGGTAAATTGTAGGTATGAGTAAAATACTTGGATTATAGTAGGAAGATGGGTTTCACCTGAGTTCATGATTATCATCTCCTCAGTTTTAGCAGTGGGAACTTTTAGTAATAGTTATGAGCCACATATTAGTGGTCTGTCATTTATTGAGAGCAGAATAAAGGGAAGGAGCAATTCAGTGCAGTTTTAATCTCAACTTTATGAATGCTGAGACTTGCTGCTTGCCCTGTTTCAAACTTCTCTGTTTTGCAAGCTGGAAACAAATGTTTGGTACTTGTAAAATGTCAGAAAAGTCTGGACAAAAAGTCTGCACTCCTGTGGAAATGGACCAGTCTTCCCTGGGTGCAAATGCTTTTTGTGTAATTCCGTAATGCTGTTTTAGTGTGGCCTGTAAAGCTTCTCTGGAGACTTGTACAAGCATTCTGCACTAAGTAACCAGATTACAACCTTGCACTATCAACAAAGGATGCTTAGCATTAAAATAATACTGAATGCCATTAAATAATACTAGAGCTCTATCAGGGTTTAGAGCACTGTGATGTTTGTGAACTGAAGCAGTCTGTATAAAACTTCACAGGTACAAGGATAATCAAATTAATGACAGTATTTCCATTTTACTAATATGCAGAGAAGGTAAGGCAGTGTCCCTAGACATTTCTGTCAATTTAAAGATGAAGAGATTAATTTTAGTGCTATTTGGATCTGAACATTATTTTAAAACAACAGCCTTCATTCTACTGAGAACGAATGTGGCAGGTTAGAAGTTGTACTGTGAGCTAGCATGGACAGAAATGTTCAGCAAAGCACATAAGCCAAGAACTTCCCACACTGAAACCAAGGGAGCAATTGCAGATTCAAGTCTGGTTATTTGTCCTAGCTGTTCAGCAAAGGAATCCACCTGCCAACAGAAGCAGAGTTCATACAAACTATCACATGCTGCATTTCAGTTTTTTTATTGGGATACATTTGGCAGTCTTAGCGGTCTGTAAGTTACAGTAAGTACCTCTGGTTGAAAATTACTATTTCAGTTATGATTGCTTCCCCAAACCAACTGAATTTATTACTAACCAAAGACTTAACTACTTGAAAACAAAACAGTAAAGTTTGGTTCTGTCGTTTATGTCTTTGAGTGCGAGCAGTTGAAGTGCATAATATATGTACTAACCAGGCCTGCATTGTGTCATTGAGCAAATTATTCAAGGCTGCAGCACTAGTATAACACAGCAGAATTTAGTATTAATCCCTTTGTGGGAACATGAGTCTATGTAATAAATCGATGTGCCATATGTGTAGGCCATGGGAAAATTGTGTGTGCAGTGAACTACATATGGTCTTAAAAGCTTTAACATTTGTACTGCTCTTCCTATAACAGAATGTATATCTTGATAGCTGTGACCCTATGAGCTTCTGAAAAAAAATGTAATCTAAAGTTTATTCTTCTTGTTTTAAAGTCACTATTCTGTGAGTTACTGTTTACACAGGCCTCCATACAGCAAGGGATTTTTCTCCATGTGTTGCTGGGAAGTGGAAAAGCAGATTCTATCTGTAAATCTTGCATGCTAGGGAGATCAGTGAATGCCTTTCCTGAGTCTCCTACTGATAAGCTGCTGCTTTTTTCTATCAAATGCAAACAGTGCCAATAGCCTGGACCTTCTTTAGAAGACACAAGTCATTTGTTAAACAGCCTTGTTGTGTTCAGCTTCTATTAATTTTCACTTTCTGCCTCCTTTCGAGTAGGCTTTGGATGATGGGATTCTGTCAAAGTCTAACTGAGAGCAAACAGTTTGCCTTTTTTACCCTTTCCTTTTCCAGAGCCACTGAAGGCCTCAAACAAGAAGAAGAAACTTTACAAAACTCATGCAGGCATGTTATTAACAAATAGCAAAAGGATAAAACAGCCTTCTAAGAGTACTCCAAATTATCTTTCAATGGCATGCCTGCACTGCATTGTGACTTGACATCTTGCTTTTATAGTGTGACCTGCTATAATGGTGTTTGTTACAATGAGGTCCTTTTAGTTTGTCCTAAAAGATTTTACTTGTTTGTCACCATATTAGAAACATAAGGTACACTCTGTAAGAAAAGCAATATACAATATACTATACATCACCTATTTCAATGCCTCTAGTTTTAGGCTAGTACTCATATAAATGTTTATAATCAAAATACAAGTTTTATTGTTCTTCACAGGACCATGCAAAGAAGTTTTGCCTTGTCTAAATACTAACAGTTGTCTGAATACTAACAGTAACATTTCTATTCAACAAATACTATTTTCTCATGCTTCTTGTTAACTTGTGGTGGGCTCCATCCTGCTCTGATTCCCCATTAACACTTTTGAAAGGGAAACGTAATGAGCTATTTCAGTGCATGACCATTGCGCAGTACCTGATTCATAAAGATAAATAGATCCAAAGTCTCATTTATGAGTTGTTAGTGATCAACAAAACAACAAAAACCCTTTGAAGTTCAGCTGAGTAAGTTCTGAAGATCTTGCATTGTTTATTAAGTTTTGCAAAGTTCCTTGAGTCATTATAACAGACATATTTGATGAAGCCTTTGTTACAGACACTGGCACCAGCCTTTGCCAAAAATTGTTCTAATTTCTGCTTCCCATTTTATCTGGAAGTTTACTGTAATGGAGAAATTATCTGGATTTAAAAAAAAAAATAAAAATCATACAGGTTTCCTTCAAGACAGTTCTCACTTTATTTGACCTAGTCCTCTGATAGATAGCCTGTATTAATATTTTTTTTTTCATATTTGTAACACGATATCCAGAAAAAAATGTTTCTCCAGAGAAACTTCACTGGAGAACATTTTGTTCCTGATTGTGACCAAGACACCTCTATTTCAGAGCTAAGTCACTTAAGAGGTGATCAAAAATGACAGAATATTAAGAGAAATCCAGAAATTTTACTCCCAAGAAATGCATGGGAGTTGGCTAAAAATAGTGGTACAATAGGGAAGTTAAGTTCTTTTTTTTTCTCATTAAACTTCACTGATACACATACCAGTTGCTCATAAAATATTTGTTCCCTCCCATTCTCTCATTTGAAGCCAATAGAGCTTCAAAGCAAAAAGTTACCTGGTTACTTTGTCTGAGTTAGTAAATGCAGTCCAGCTGCCAAGCCCGTCCAGACTGACTTTCATTGCCACAGACGTAGCTAAGTCACCTGAAGTCATTGACAGAACTTGATTTTCTAAGCACTGCAACAACATGCTATGAAATGTACCAGTTCGGTTACACTACTGGGTCCTCAAGATACACCATCCAGACTGTAGTGTTCTCCCATCATTTAAAAAGGCAGAAGAATACTTTAGACTGTGTCTTTACATTATTTGAGTTTTAGTGTGTGAAGACTGCATCTGTTGCAGACTTGCTTCCTCATGAAAGAGTAGCTGGCTTATCTTTTGTGATACCTTTTGTGTCTAATTGTCTGGGATTTTTTGATATGTCTTCAACCATGTCGATAGCTTTGACTGGGCTGCACAGTATCTAGAAATCCTGGATAAAAGGCCACAATAAATGTGTAGAACAATTCTGTATCTCAGGTGAGAAGAGTTTTCTATGGTTGTGTTGGGCTTTCTGCTAGGGGCAGACCAACTTTGCAAGTGCGCTGGACTCATGCTGTAGAATTGGTGTGTACAGGCACAACACACGCTGACACAGTGCTCAGCTAGTGCAGACACATGGTCATGCGCTCCAGTCTGGCAACTCCTGAGGAAAAGCAAGGAAGTTGTAACATTTGGAATTTCAGATGTTGGCAGTACAACATGATTTGTACCACCTACTCTCTCTTGTGTCATGAAAACTATCTGGAACAATAAGAAAAGAAGGAAAGAAAAAAAGCCAAAATGAGGGGGATTGTGAGGTAGAGTTCACTTATCAAACTTCATGTTCTCTTAAACCTCCTTCTTTGCCATCCCCACATGATGAACTAACACCATTCAAATACAGTGGTCAGTGTTGATCATCCATCTCATAGGAGTTGTATCTGAGTTTCCATAGGTAAATTTTATACTGAGTATCTAGAATACTGCCAGGGGGCAGGAGGTGATTGTCCTTTTTAATAACCACTGTTTAAAGATTCATTGCTGAATTCAATACCCAAATACCCTGTTGGGACTTGGCAAGTAGGGTTCACTTTCCAGCAAGGTTTTGTGGTAGGAACTTTGAATGTAGCTATGAATCAGAACGGATCTGTGGCAGTCCCAAGCTTTCACAAATAAAGTAGATAATTGCAGCATGGTCGATATCTTGGTCAGTACTGCCACGTCAGAAACCTGGTGTTCTGAACAACTGCAGGCTTCCTACCTCCTGGTAACCCTTGCAAAACAAAACCATGTGACTCCTATTATACCTAACAGGAGTCCTTGTTCCGACTAAAGTCTTCAAAGAGCATTGAAACCATATCCTACACTCCTTGCTGTACAAAACCATCCGTGGTCAGTTTCTGCAAGTGTTACATTTGCTGGGTAACACTCAGTCCGTAAACAGGACGTCGACATAAAACACATTCCACGGAGGAACAAGACGGCACTTTCCCCTGACCTGCATTTAGATTTAAAGCTTAGTTACATGGGCCATTTAGGCTGCAGTCCTGCATGTGCTCAGGTGAACAGGTAACTTAAAGGACACAGGGGCCTCGTGCAAAGTGTGCTTTGGCCAGGCCACCTGCAAACGTTGTGAGCAAGGATGGTGGGACTGTGGCCATACCTCATCGAGTGGTTGTAGATGGGAGTGGCACACCCAGTATCTAATGCAGCATTTCAGATATCTAAGGACTAATTTTTCCATGCATTCGACACACATTCCGATGTATTTTATGAATCAGGTCTGTGATCAGTGTTTTCAACAACTTGTTTGCTGCGGTTTCATGGGGTTACTATCTCTTCGGTTTGCAATGTAAATGATGTTGTACATCTGCTATTTTATGATACAAATGCCATATGAATTGCTTATTTTTAAAATGTTATAGCTCTGTTATGGTTTATTTACAATGCCATCTTACAGTATTGGTTTAATATACAATGTATCTGTATGGCATGAATTAAATTGCTTCTATTTTACAACATCAAATATTTTATTTTTGTTTTCTAAAATGAATACATTTCATCCTATGCAGTTTCATAAATGTTTCTTAAGTGGCTCATTATGCCTGGAAATATAGCTTCCTCTCCAGTAGTGCAGGCTTAAAAACCAGTATTCCTGATCAAAACCATCAGATATATCATCTAGGAATTTTGGATTAGAAATATATGTACAAATATGTAAGCATTTATAGGTAATCAGAACATCTAATATATCTTCCTTGCTTTTCATGTAATGATACATTTTAATCATTTTGTATACTTTTTATTTGTAATTATTTGTGAGTCATACACAGTGTAAATAACATATTTCATTATGCAAGATTTATAGGTATTCAAGATTTAAAAAAAAAAGTTGAATTTGTATATTAAAAGAAATTGACAGTAGATTGGAATGACATAAAGTGGTGATTACTATGTTCTATTTATACTGTTCATTTCCAAATGGTCCATTAAAAAACCCACAACATTTCATTTGCCCTTTAATGTCCAACCAGTTATTTATGGTATATTTACATCAATAAATCATGCAAAAGACTATTAAAATTAATGATGAATCATTGAAATTTTCCCTTTTTCTGTTGACAACTTACCTATGGAGAGCGGAATTAAAATATACTAAAACACAGTTCAGTGGAAACAGTCAACAAAAATCAGTGAAGATAGTTGTGTAAAAGAACCTGTTTTCACTCCTAGCTCTCAAACCTCACCTTATACCACAAATCAAAATGTACTGTTGAACAATAAACTAGTAAAATATGTTAGAACAAAATGCTAGATGCTTAAATACACATTGTGTATATCCCTTGATATGTAAGCTTTGGTTTTCATGGACATTGCCATGTAAAAACCTTCCTGAAGCCTTTGTTCCTGACTGAACTTTTGGAGTTTTGAGGCAGAGCTGCTTAAGAAATTTAACGGAAAGAAAATATCTGGTTTGGGTGATACTATAATGGTTAATTTCTTCCAGTAATTGTTCAGTTCATTCTGTAGAACAGCAGAGCAGAACCAGATTTCAGTCCTGGAGAACAGAGTTAGAAAATGGGTGACATTACAATGAAATATCAACACTAGCTCATTTCTACCAACGCAAGAACAAAGGAAGCTGACATGCTGTAACGTCATCAGCTGTAAAATGCTGCTTGTGTTGCTCACTTTTTCATTCCTTCTTCACCTTTTTTATGTCCCCAACTGAGAATATGATTCATTCTGCTCTGCTATTTTATACAGAAGACCATTAACTAGAATTGGTTGCAATATTTTTCTGTGGAATGAGTTACTGGGAGAAAATGGAATTTCAATTAATTCACAATGTTGGCAAGGGAGTTTGGTTCTGACATTTCAGTACAGAATGCGCTTGACTTTTATGGGGCTAAAGCTAAGGAAGGCCTAACCCATCCTAAAATTTCACGGATTTTTGCCCTTGCCACAGCTAGCTTTAAGCCTGGTGAACATTTTCCAAGAAAGAGACTGATAATTTGCCTATTCTTGTCTTCAGAATTATTCCAGAAAATTATTCAAGTATGGTTAAATGGGAATTTGAGTAACTCTGGTATGTGGGAGTCAGTTCTGGTCCACAATAGATTTAGGAATACTGTGTGTCGACCAAGAACTTTTGATAAAGACAGTTCTCAGAGTCTTTTTAGCTAGGAGAGTTACTCTTCTATTAACATAACACTGCATTTTGAAATCTCACTTTGTCCAATAAAGCTCATTTATGTGACTCTATAAATGTAAGGAATGCCTTCAGTGTAATGCCCATATGCAGTCCAGATAATTCCAGCACAGAAGGATATAATAGGAATAAAAAAAGGTATAGACAAGGACAACAATTATGAAAGCTGTCGCATATCTTCCAGTAATTAAATAGGAAAGAATTACCCACGTTTGAAAAGACATGACTATGATAAAGATCTCTGAATACTATGGTGAAAGGGGATAGAAAATGATTATTATGTGTTTCTTACAATGCCAGAATTAGAGGGCATTTAATGAGGTTATGGGCAGTACATTAAAACAAGCAATGCAGGAGAAAGTACTTTTTTTCATAGAGTGTGTAATCAAATTGTGGGTCTCGGTGCCAACAGAACATTTCAGAGACTAAAATAGAAGCAATTAGAAAAGCTGATGGAGGATAGATTCATCAGCTGATTTTATACATGTTGAACTGCGTGCTACTATCAGCTCAGGAAGCCACTCATTCTTTGTTGCAGAGGTCTGGGAGAGTGTACCAGCCAGAGGTCTCGTAATACTTTTTTATGCTCTCCCTCATGTGACATTCCCTATGGGTAGAGGGACCTTTCAAGAAAAAAGTCTGTGTTTATATTCTTATATGGGAGACACTGGAAGAAGAGAGTCCAGGATGATCTGCAGGCTGAGGGAAGAATGGGAGGAAGATAACTGGAAAGTCATACCAGCATCAGCATGAGATACTGTAATGCACTGGAAACTTATTGTTAATACACAGACTAGACATCAGAGTTGGTCTAGGGGAAAAGAGGTGGGCTATCTTCCGGAAGAAAGGATACAAGGTAAGGATTTTAGACTGAAAAGGGTATTGGCTGGAGCAGGAAAGGGCATCTGGTGATTCTTCATCAGGGGACAAATCAAAAAGGTAGATGTCTGCTGAAATGTCCCAACACAGGGAAGTTTCATGTGATCTGGCACAGAACTTTCCCTATTCCTAGGAAAAAAAGAACATATGAACCAATGAAATAAATGAAGACCCAACAATGGGCCAAGATTAGTGTTGCAAGGAACGCTTGGGGTCTTCCATCATCTTCATGGGGAAAATACTCTGTCATGTGTTGACTCTGACTGAGTACCTGGAGCACAGACACAGTGAGATAAAGCCTGAGATGCTGTTAATAACAGCTTTAAGGAAAAAGGATTGTTTAAGTTTTCTTATATGTAATATCCCTCCTTGATTTCAGTACAGAGGCAGAGAAAATGAAATAGTACTGAATAAAGAAAGATACTCCTGTAAATCTACACAGAAAAATTATTTTCTCCACTCTGTATATATGAGCATATCACATACGTTAATTCTGTTTTACTAACCTCCTAAGATGTAGGCATGTGTGAGATGCATAGGCTAAGTGGAGCAGAAACTGAAGTTGAGGACTGTATTGGTTCAGTATTTTCATTAGAGGCCTTAGTACAGAGAAGAAATGCTATCTGCTGATGACAAAAAACCAGAAGCTATTATCAACACAGCAAGAGCCAAATGATACAAGGGAAGAATGGAGTGGCCTTCCAACCACATAAAATAGTAGGATGAAAGGATAAGTAACGTGTGCCAGGATTAATTGCAGGTATTCCTGTAATAACTGGAAGCTCATAATTTAGAAATGACAGAAGAAGAAAAAGAGATAGAAGGGTACCAACTGAGAAGTGTATAATTATAGTCACTAATGTCATATGAAAAAATCAAATGCAACCACAAGAGAGATGTTTCTGATAGATACAGAGAAATATCAGTGTCGTTATAAGGTACTCATGGGATTATGTTTGGAATACTGTGTGTAATTCTGATTATTTGCATTCAGGAAATCAGTGTATTCCTGTGGTAAAGGTAAAGCCTAAGGGAAATATAATTATTTAATTAATGTGTTTCTTTTCCAGTAGACTGCATCCTTAAAAAAGCATACACAAAAAATTTTAAATGTGCCTAATGCAATAGTATGTCTTTGAGTAGAGATTATAGAACCATTAAAAATATTCAAGTGCTCATGTTGCTTGCTGCTCTGTTATACTAAGGAGGCAGAATGTGATGCAGCTTAAAAATATAACCAGGAGGAAAGGCTGAGTTGGAATGTGATGCAGCTTAAAAATATAACCAGGAGGAAAGGCTGAATTGCCATCTAGTGTGTCTCTCAACAGATCCAGCTTATAATTCTCTGTACCTTTTCCTGGCTTATGTGGTGCTAGAATCAACAGGTGAAGGACCTTCAGCCATTGCCTGTACTCCTGGCTTTTCTTAAAAATGTGAGAAAGAAAATTAAATATCAATATTTGTGGAAGGCATCTTGGTTCAGCTTCCTAAACACAGACCTCTTTTGCATTTGAGATGCCCTAGTTCACCTTGCTTGTCCTTGTCACAGATGAAAGTATTAACATGGTAATGGTTTTAGCAGCAAATCAAGATTTATTAATGACTAGCAGCACTTAATCATTAACCAGTTTAAAGCTTTACAAAGTAATTCAGTAAAATATGCTATAATTAAAACAGCAACTTAACTTCGAAGATTCGAAGATGACAAGATTCACTCTAATTTACTATACGGTACCTTAAATTAATATATACATGCATGCATATTCGCAAACACAAAATGTACAGGCAAAAATACACACACTGGAGAAAATAACTGTATACCCAAACACATTGGTAAGCAGAGAGAGAGTGGGTGAAAGAGAAGCTAGCTCACAGTTAAAATTTCCCTCTTCTCAAGTTTATAGTAAACACTCATAATGCATTGGCATTCCTCAAAAGGTGATAACTGAGACTCGAGAGAGTCGACAGCGTCCTGGCTTCCTGTCAGCTCTGACAGCAGATGACATCTTAAGGTTTAATACCTGAGAGGTGTCCCAGCTCAGGGGAGATGCTGGTCACAGCCCACTGCGATGCAGGAGAGCTCAAAGGATCTCACTTGGGGTTGCAATTTATAGGGTCCAAGATAAGACTTTCGTCAGATACTTATCACTCCAGCCTAGCTCAGACAATGAGGTGTTCTGGTGTTCTCATCAGGTACACAGGAGGTTGATGGATGTGCAATTCTGTTATTGTTATCTTTCAACTGCATCCCAGATACAGATGTACCAAGCTGTCAGGAGGTAATGGATTGTTCTAAACACTTCAAAGGAGAGCAGGAGCCAGACTTGTCAAAGGGGTCCCTTAATACTTTGGTTCCCGACCATTAGTAGTCTTCACCTCGCCAGGTTGGTATGACCCAGAAGAGGGTTGGAATCACACCAAGAGCTGAGCAGCACAGCTGGTAGAGTGGGAGGGGGGTAGAATTGCACCACCACAGGCCTCTAGGTCCTAAGTGGCCAAAGGACTTCTGTAGAACCTGGGCCACATTTGCCAATGTCACATCAATCTCTTAGATGCCATTAAATGACACTGTATTCAGGCAACTGCATTAATTATATCATGCTGAGGTTACCCTTGATTTCCCAGACAAAAACATCACACTGTTTGAAGGAAAAACTTGCTATCCAGACTAAAATCAGACGTCTTTTTTTTTTTTTTTTTTTTTTAAAGAAGTGTAAAAGATGGCTTTTATCAGGCCGCATTCACAAATGACAAAATACAGCTTTGTGTATGGTCCAGAGAAGTATTTTTAAAAGTTTGAATAGTATACCTAACATGGTAATATAATGATTTGAATACTTGTACAAGCAAGTAAAATAGAACTGTGATTTGATTTATTTCATTTGACCCTGAAAATACCTCTT